ATGTCGTGGCTCATTGTTGGAGTCAATGGCAGCTAAGAAGGCTTTATGAGTCTCAGAAAAATGTTTGTATGAAACAAAGTTAGTTAAGGGATGTATCTTGGAGGATCCTTGATTTGGTGAGACTTGTGCGTGGTCAACCGATGGGGGAAGTTGAACAAAATAATCATTAAAACGTTTCGGTTTCGACGTTTGGGCCTTGTTGCTCGTTTTGATCTATGTTTAACTCAGCCTGCTCTCTTGGGATTTTTGTTTGGGATTCATTGTCTTCACTTTGATTTAAGTCAGCCTCCTTCCTTGGGCTTTCAGTTCCAGTCGAGACCCCGACATTATTGGCTTCTTCATTGTTTGTGGTTTCATCATGAATGGGCTCATCATGAGGTTCAAATAATTCAGTTATTTCATGGGACAATTGGTCAAAAGGAAATTTATCTTCATGAAACCTAACGTCCCTGGAGACCATTTTTTCTTATTTTCAAGATCAAAATTTTTATATCCTTTAGTCCCTGATGGGTAACCTAAAAATACCTCGGGCCTCCCTCTCGCTTCAAAATTGTCTCATCTGGTCTCAGTGCTTCTATAGTAGACTAAGCACCCGAACACCTTTATGAAACCATAATCCGGTTTTCGTTCAAAGATGATTTGGTATGGTGTTTTGTTTCCAATTACCCATGAAGGTTATCGGTTAATGATGTAAGAGGCCGTTAGAACACACTCGCCCCAAAATATTTTGGGCAAGTTGGCTTCAAATCTAATTGCTCGGGCGATTTCAAGTTAGTGTCTATGTTTACGTTCCACAACCCCATTTTGTTGCGGGGTGTGGGGACACGCCATCTCGAGCAAAATCCCTTCCTCATTATGAAATTTTAACATTTCATTCGACGTGAACTCACCACCATTGTGCACCTAATACTTTTAACGCATTTTCGAAATTGGGTTTTTGTCATTTTATGGATATTAACTAAACACTTGCTTGCTTCATGTTTGTGTTTTAGCAAAAACACCCATACGGCTCTACTAAAATCATCAACAATCATTAAGAAATATCTTGCACCTGAAAACGAAGGTGTGTGGTATTTTCCCCAAACATCACAGTGTAATAATTCAAAGCAACTAACTGTTTTAATCTCATTGTTTTCAAAAGAAAGTCTAGTGTGTTTTGCTTTAGAACACGAGTCACATGCCTTATTGAAAGAAATGTTACTAAGAAAATCAATATGGATAAGCTTGTTACTAGAAGCAAGGGCCAACCTTCTATGCCAAGCATCAACAGTCGTCATCAAGGCTTTCTTCTCGGCTCCAAACATCCCCATTCGGTAGAGACCCTTTCTGCACTCACCCGCACCAATCAAGTCCCTCGTGTGGAGTTTCTGCATGACACAAAAATCGGGAAAAAAGGTTATGGCCGATTGAAGATCTTGGCATAAGCGACTGACAGATAAGAGATTGCACGTGAATTTAGAAATGTGCATAACGCCTCTTATCTTGGTCCCCCTGATAAGGTACATTATCCCTTTCCCTCAACAGGTATAGCATCTCCGTTCGGAATGACGACCGGAGTTTCATTTCGAGTTTCAATCCTGTTTACAAGAATGTTTGTGTTGTGTGTACTATGTTCGGTAGAGCCCGAATCAATTATCCACTTAGCATCACAACTAGTTTTACCTGTCACGCATGCCATCAGATTCTTGTTGTCTTTGTTTGTGTTCCCACTTTCTGCAAAATGTTTCAAGAAAGACTCATATTGTTCATTAATCAAACCTGGAATAGGACTTGAACCAGTATCAATGCAAGCTGCCTTGGGCTTGGTTTCATCACGTTTCTTTTTTCCCAGCCACCAATTGGGATATCCGATTAGTTTGAAGCATCCATCCCGGTTGTGCCCATCTTTCCCACATAAGTTGCAATGTTTAGTGACATCACTGCATTTGTTTCCTTTTGAGAAAGGTTTCTCACGGCGCTGCCACGTGCTCGTTTCTTGTCGGCCTGGAATGAAGGTCTTGAATGCAGTGGATTCGGTGGGTGCCCTTTTGTCAGTGGAAATATTTCTTTGGCGTTCATCTTCAGCAACGAGATGATAAGCATTTCTGAGACTTGGGGTTGGGCTCATTGCAAGAATCTGCGTTCTAATCACAGAAAAATTATCATCGAGTCCCATAAGGAACTCCTACAGTCTTTCCTTCTCCCTGAAATCAATCATCCTTTTCTCTATGTCACACGTGCAGCTGGTACATGTATATCGAGGGACAGACGAAACAGATTGCATCTCATCCCATAAACTGCGTAGCTTAGTATAGTAAGTGGAAACCGACATACCTTCTTGTTGGGTTGTTGTGAGGGTCCGCTTCAATTCGTATGCTCTAGGTGCACTCTCGTTTCCAAATCTTTCAAGTAAATCGGTCCAGAGTTCAACGGTTGTACTGGCGTATTTGACGCTATTCCTGATATCCTTTTCCATGGCGGTTGTGAGCCATCCTTTCACCATTGCGTCACAACGCTTCCATGGCATATATTCATCAGTGGTCTTCTCGGTTTATGCTTGTGACTAGTTGGCATAATTGTTGTCGGTGAGGGTCTCGTTGACGTGCATTTGTTTTGGGAAGTCGGAAGCATGAATGTAGAACGGAGAGTTCGTATCCATGGTGCTTTGTTGTTTTGAGGAGGAGGGCCCTTCTTTATCGTTGGCCATGGGTAGAACAAAAGGCCGACTAGGAATTGTGTTTTAGGTTAAACCGCTCTGATACCATCATAAAATTGATGGTCTCAAAGTTATTGAATATTTAGTGTATTGAAAAGAGGTGCCGAGGCAATACATAAATACATGATGAAAGGAAAACAAAAGAAAGCTAGCCTAATTTAGAGGCAAGAAATACGGTGGTCAAACAATATGAATAGGAAGCAAATCGGGATATATATATGGTCAATATAGAATTCCAATAGAGCGAGAGGAGCTCTGGCCGTTGAGCTAGAGGAATTTCGGGTTTTTGTGCTTAGTAAGTGTCGAGGATTCTAGGAGCGCTGCAGAGTATCTGTTTGTTTTCATACTTTGGGTAGCAAACAGATTTGCAACTTTTGTTGAAATATATTTAAATATATTTGCAATAATGATTTTAACAGATTTTGGTGATCTTGTAATTGCAAAGAAAGGGTCATCTCACTAGACCACCTGGTCTAACCCTCATTTTATGTTTTATATTATGCATTGCAGGTTCAGCTGGTCTAGGGATAGCAAGGGGAAGGGGAAGGGAAAAATATAATTATTTTCCTATTGTGCTTATCTGTTGTTTTGAAGATCAACCTGTTGATTATTGATGTATTTTGAAGATACATGTTGTTATACATGCGATAGTACAAGAACATTCTTTTGGAATTTTTGAATTGTAAATTTTGTATATAAGTGTCTTGTACTAGTGGGACCATTGTAGTGTAAATTATATTTATTTTATATAAAGTACATGTTATATGCAAATGTGGATGATTGGGGTATTACATATATAGTAGTAAGGATGTCGGTGGGCGAGTGTGATGACAACAATTGTGGCATGGTGGTTAGTGATGACTTGGGGTAGGGTGAGTGGCACTGACAATAGTGGTGTGATGGTAGTGGGGTTAGGGGTGGGGCGTAATAGACAATAGTTGAATTTGAAAGATGGGCGGTGATAGAATTCAATTCCTTCCCAAGGAATGATGAATTCACTGATTTGCGGAAATTCAAGGAAATTTGAAGGATTCCATTCATTTCAAGAAATGAACCAAACAAAGGAATTGGAATTTGGTCAAAGATAGAACTAAGCTGAAGCCTTGTTTCTTTTTGGTAGGCACCCCTTCATGTCATAAGCCATCTTCTCTTCTTCAACCAAACTATTAAATTGTTTTGTGTAGAAAAGGTTAAAACCTTTTTATTATATTTGTTAAGAGGTATTCATTACCTGCAGTCGTGTACTATCTATGGCAATTACGTGGCTTCTATTTGTTCTCAGTGGTTCAACTTATCATCATTATTTTTTCTTGTTAGGATGGGCATGGTGTTAGACCTATTGATAACACTCGTCTAATAACCTCACTAGCGTGAAAGGTTAGGCTGGGCAAATGACAAATGGCTTATTGCTTAACAAAGACTGTGCTGAGTGAAATTTTTTACTGCTCCTTTGTGTCTCTTGTCTGTTAGTCTTATTCTTATGCTTCCGAAGTGTTCTCTATTTCACAGACAAATTAATCATAAAAAGGCTGCTTTTATGTTGCAATAAGAAAATCAACAGGATTTGAGGATATAGGAGTTATTAATTCATTATTGTTTAATGTTAGGTAACCAAAAGGTATTTGGTATTACTAAAGACATTGCAAGATTCCAATATCTTTGATTTGTGAATTTATTGAATTTCTACCAGGATTTATTGGTATGTAGTCACAAGGAGTCGATGTAAATATACAATTTGTTAGACTTTTGATCTTAGAACCATAATTGGCTTTTAGGTAGCGTTTGGTATGCAAACATGACTGGACTGAACAGGACCGGATAGAAGAGAACAGGACTGGACATTACAAGTGTCTGTCTAGTGTTTGGCACGACTAGGATTGGACAGGACTAGGCTGGACAAGTTGCCTAATATGTTTAATGATTTTATATGGTGGTCACTAGTGGTGGTGATTGTAATGCAAGTCTTTTTTTAGATACCATGTGAAAGCTTCCCATTTCAAAGTGGTTTAAGCATGTTATTTAGATACTTGGGTTTTGTGATGAAAAGCTTGCCTTTGTTGTCTGTATGCCTCTTAAAAAGAGTGGATACACATAAGTTTTTGTCATTTTTCTTTTGTTGCAACAGGCAAGGTGTCATTTTTCTTTGAACAGTTTGAGTGGTTTTGACAAAACTGTTTAATGCTGTAGTAGAAAAGTTTTTGGTTTTTATTTGAATTCAGATGATAATTTTTCTAAACATAATTCAATCATCCAATCGCAACAGACGGACTTGATCAAAAACAAAACTGAAAAAAATACATATAATGGAATAAAACACCAAACCTATTTTAACCGGTTCTATCCAAAATCAATCTATGAATCGAATTACATATACTCTACTTGTTTCATACTTTTGTGCGTCTTCTATAAAACTTTGAAATAATAGAAGAAAACGCCGTATATGTAGGACAAGTGCCAGGCTCACCTATAAAAAACAAGTCGCTGCTAACAAGATGCTTATGAAATAACAAGCAATAAGATCCTGAAAATGAAAAGACAAGAAATAAGTGTTCCTGCTAGTAAAGATGATTGAAGAACCAGTTTTCGTATGGTCGGGGTCAAGGAACCGAAGCAGCAAAGAGCCACCTCTAGAATGGATTCCCCATCAAGATGGTACACCTGCAGAAAAAGCGCACACAATCATATGGTCAAACTTAAAACCTTCCAAGGATTTCTATTTCTAATCCCATCATCAAATGAATGTGTTTTCTGCAGTTGGGTCTTCACGGAAAAGGCCGCTCTATGGTAGAGGGTAGGTTTGTGTGCATCCCACCCCAGACCCTACTTTCGAGTGAGATACAACTGAGTTCGTTTAGTTTGCATTACAGAAGCAAGACAAATAGTATCTATTTACAAGTTCAATATTGAAAGTAAAAGCACATTGCAATGCAACTATGTGCTCGTTCCATCTCCGGTCAACTACTTAAACTGTCAACCCTACACGGCTACACCTGCCACCTCTCTCCGCTTTAGTAGAACCATATGGGAAATCCCTTTCGAAAGGCTATACTTGTTGTAGGTGATATAATAGTGACTGGTGTCCAATGGGTGCTGCTTTTTTTAGTAGAGAACAGCAAATTGTGACTTATGACATGGTAATTAAGTATTACTTTAATACGATGGAATTGGAAGAATGGTTTTAACATTAAGTTTCCATAATTAGTTACTAAAGTCTTGGTTCTATCTGGTTTGTCAAGACTTTATAAGAAGGCTAACCAGGCATGAGCACCACGAAGCCTCAGACTTCACCAGCAATACATTAATCCTTTTAAAATCATGGATGAATCACAGATGAGAGCACATACCGGTAAGCTGTTGAGAAGAACTAGCATCAACGAGACATGAAAGGTGTTTACCAACAGCTTCTCCACTACAGCTGGAATATATGCAACACCATACAACCAACGGGATTGATATTCGGTTAACCAAATGGAACGTGCCATCGACATCATGTCACCTATGAAAACGAAAGTCCCACTACAGCTATTTTCTCCGGAGCCAGAATTATTATAACTTGAGCGCATCTTATTTCCAACTCGCTGACATTCAGGAGAGTAAGGTCTTGAAAATGTGATTTCAGCCCATGCTAGACCTGGCATATGGATTGGAGTTGAGCAAGATTCATCCTGTGTTAAAAAAATGCAGATTTTCAAATATCAGTTTTAATTCCTTCGCATTTCCCTTTAATGCACAGCAAGGGGAAGGTTCATTTGAGAACCGTAAATAATTAATGAACCATGAGAATCAACTATTCATGATGAATAATATTCATGTATATTCGTAATGATTAGTTGATTGTTACTGTTCCTAAATGAACTTCCCCTTCACAGCAAATAAAATTTATACATTTGAGAATTCACAAAGGATCTTTACCTCTGTACACAAACAGTTGCCGTCATTTTTAACACTATTAACCCATCCATCACCACATTTTTTCTCCCCTAATACTCCTTTAGCTGGGAAACAGTATATATGCTCTCTTGTCAGTTGATAACCAATTTCGTTGCTGCTACTGTCATTTATTGTACTTGATTCAGCACAGGAAATAGTAGTAAATAAAGTGAGCCCATTTGGACATATGAATTGGTTGTCTACGATTTCAGCATTCTTGCTCTTTGCAATCACCAAATTTGGGACACAATACCCCTTATTGCTGACATATTGTTTTGTTGTTTGAAGTACTTGCTTGTCTAATAAATAAGCCATCTCCTTCCACTCGTTAGTAGTACGAATATGCTTGCCATCCAACATAGTAACTACGTCACCAGGAGACAAGTACCCATTCAAAGGTGATCTAGCAGAAACACCCAGTACCTGTGGTCATCAAACTGAAAGTGTTCAGTAAGTGAAGAATGAGAACTATAGATTATGGGAAAATGCATCAAGCTGTAATAAAGTTTGCCTTAGTTCCTATTTAGTGTAACGATTAATTTTTTTTCTAGATTTGTGTAACAATGTTCAAGTATCCCCATTTTGTACCCATTTTACATGATAAACAGATTTTCAGTCTGCGGAACATCGGTTGATTTTTATGTGACTTTCCCACATAATCAAGAATTACAACATAACCTGACAACTTGGCATTCACATCATCAACAGTTACAAAATCTACCCGTTACTGGTCAAAATGGGGACAAGATAGAAATAATTAAATGTTTGTTACACTAATTGAGAAAAAGAAATCCACTACACCAAATAGGAACCAAGAAACTTCGTTGCATTTTGATGATTTCCGCCATAGATCATAAACAGCCTTCAAGCAAGTATCCATGTTCAAGTACCATGAGGCTTTCACCATGTGAGTAAAGTGGATATAATATCAGCGGTAACAAGAACAAGGTCAATGCACAAACCACACATAACTGCAAAAGTGGAATGTAATCAGCATATACTTTTGGATATGTGATGAGAAAAAAAGATCATGTTATGCTGAAAACAATAGTATAATGTAGTCTTTTATCATGTTAACTTACTGCTGCATTATGCCAGACTCCAGCACAGTATATTCTAAGTGTAGCTACGCGTGGTATCATTTGCAGCATCTCATTATTAAAAGCCACCAGAGCACCTGGAAATAGAACTGCCAAAAACACGGCAGTGTACTCAATTTGCATGCCCTCGCTGCTACCCAGAAAATGGATGCCTACAGGATCAGTCATAAGATCCATTCTCTAAACAATTCGTAAATTTATTCACCATATAAAAAAAATCAAAATAATGTACAATCAAGAATAATTTGTCCAGCCCAATGACAACAGCAGATAAAATTTGTCTATTTTGCTACAAGCAATTGAAGCAATTAACAAGGCAAAATCTAACAGCCAAGAACAGATGACAGATAAATTCAACTTCTGCCTGCTGGATCGTTTAAGTGGTTAGATGCTAAGAGCTTGTTTACCAGCTATGCTGTTAATAGAGGTGCTATCGTAGTGCAATAGCGATTTGCGGTCTTGGGAATAATAGCGGTAGCAAAATAGCGACCAGAATAGGGGTTCCGCTATTATCGCCGCTAAATACTGCTATTTAGCTTTTATTTGGTTTCAAAATAGCGGAAATAGCGGTATAGCCGCTATTTGCTAAAAACGGCAGTCTTTTCACTTTTAGCTTATTTGGTTCTTCCAAGTTCCACCACGAGGATCACAATAAGCTTCTTTAGGTCCTTATACCGTTCCACAAGTACAACGACAAGGTTTCTTTTGGTTCTTCTACCTTTTCACGAGGAAAACAATCTAAGGGTTTGCTAACTAGCCTTCTGAACCTACATCTTCTGTTTAACAATCAGTGGGTTCAAGAATTATACAAATTCTTTTGCTATTTCGTCTGTTTAAAGCTTGACCTGTTTAAGTTGATGTTTTGATGTTTAAACTGTATAATTTTTGTTGAATACATACTATGCTTTGATGTTTAAACTGTATACATGTATACATAGATATATAATTCTAATTATTTTATGGACCGCCATACCACCGCTTTACCATTGTGATAATAGCTATATTAAATCACGGTCGTGACTGCTGTAACAGCATAGCTTACCAGTAATCTAGAGGTTCTGACTTTGAATCTCACACTTGTTGTGTCAATGATCAAGCAATAAAAACTTTCACACCCCCTCCCCCCAATTCCCCACATGTCAACCAATCCCATTAAAGTATGGCATCCCTGAGTTTTGCATTCCCCTGTCCAAATCCTTCCATCCTTCCATTTTATAGTGAAGCATCTAAACCAAAACAAACCAAACAACAAATCCAGCATATCCAACCCGAAAGTATGTCCTGGGGGTAAGATGTACACAAACCTCTCCTTTGGCTCGAGAGGTGGAGAGGTGGTTTTCCTATTAGACCCTTGACTTGCGATATTTTTAAGATTATCCCTTCATTTTCTTTAAATTTTAAATATTCATTGGAATACATTAAGTTTTACATTTTATTTTGGTTATTATTGAGTGTCAAGTACTGAATAATGACTGATTTTGATGGATTAAAAGGCACATATAATGCTGAATTATGAAAAAAGGTTTGATTCTTTAAATGAACAATACCATGTTTTTCTCCATGATGAAGGGTAAAATGGGAATCCAAAATAATAATTAGATTGTGAATATGCCTTGTGATGGGTGAACCTTGGGATTTAAGAAGTTATTCCAGGTAAACATGTAGAAAGGACATTTGAGTAAGCATGTTCCATGAAGCATTAAATGGAAATCTAAAATGGACCAGTGGTAAGTAACCAGTAGTAGAAACCAGCCACTTTTTGATAGCTTCATTAGTCATTTTATCATTGCAATTAATATATCATTGCTTTCCAAAAAGGTTTGCAATCTTGGAGGCAGTTAGCTAATTTGACGATTTTTATTAAACACATATAATATACAAAGTCTTTAGCTGGTGTCCTTTGTTGTAGAGATCTATACTATATATTTGCTATGCAAGAACAGTGCAGAATGTTTTATAGATGAATGGAAAAATTCATGCTGATCTCTTTTACTCGGACTAATATAATATCCTTAAGCACTGCACTTACCATACAATCGGACATACACTTATCTTGTCTCACATCCTATGTGGGAGACCTTAACCTGTGTACAGTATGGTATGTCGCCTTCTGTTTGCAATTTTGCACACAGCCATGTCTCAAAATGCTTTAATATATTCTTAATAAGAACAGTGGACTATGATCTCACAAAATGTCTAGCATGCAACCAACATTTAGCAGCCAGATTATAAGATGCCCCTGCATGCATTGATGATACACAGATAGGTGCCTTAAACAAACACCCTTCATGAAGTTTGATTTTGTTACTGATCCAAACTACTTACCTTGATCCCACTATAGGTATATGTAGAATGATATGAAATGCTTCAGTACGATATAGACCAACTGGCTTTTATCTACTGCTTCTCCCAGCAAGAATCTAAAGATGATCCTCACTGCGCCATGCAATTCATCTATGTGCACCCTGGATTTATGGATTAAGTTGTTAACAGTCTGAGGCTTAATATAACCAGAAGCAATTCCCAATTACTCTTGAGCTTTTGTATTTGCCAGTCACCCTCTGACCTTTACCCCACATCATTTCTCCCAGGATAGACATGTGTCTACCTGAGACTGAAGCTGCTTTAGGAAGTATCAACCCTAGGGTTTCATTTTTAATGTCTTTTGTCCATTCAGTCAAAGTTGACTTTCTACCTCGAAGCTGAACTTGACCCTCCCTTTGTAGATAGTAGTACCATTTACACTAGCATAAACCTCAAGATATATAGTGTTCCCTAAATATGTAGAAACCTACAAGCCCATCAGCAGCAGCATGGTAATGGAAATCACAAAAATGTAATGACGCACAAAAAGCAATTGTTTAAAGACTCTTAATATTTTTCTCCCGCATTAAATTTTGACAGAACACTTTCCTAAGGAAGCAAGGATATTGGGCTTGTTCATGCAGTATAATACTTGCATCAAATGATTTATAACAAGAGCAAATCACATACAACATTATAAAGTACCCTACCAGGTAGGCTAAATCAAGACTAACAGCAAAAGAAGAATGAATTGGAAGTAATAACCTTGTAGCAGCAAGGGCGTGCCCAAGTTCATGTACCAATACAGATATGATAGAAGATATACACATATATCCAACATCAGTGATTGATATGCTATATTTCAAAACCTGCATCATACGAACAAGTAACAATCACAGAATGCTATAACTCCACCACAAAATTCAATGAAAATGTACATACTAAATACAAACACTACCATCAACAATTACATCCCTAAGGGCTTCAGGAGGCGACATTGAGGAGTTCAAAGTAACAAGAGGCAATGGTACAAGGTTTAAGGATATCAAATTTGGAGTCTGGTCTACTGGAGGCAGTTAGGAGCTACCAACAACCAGGTACCCACCAATGAGTAAGGGTCATTAATGGCAAGAGAAACACTCAGAAGGTTGTCCATGTTCTGACCTAGAGGCTCCATACATGTATATATGCATTGGGTTGATTAATGTATATTACCAACTATACCAAGAAAAAACCATAAAATATGGAGTACATTAGATGGGTCTCTGGTAGGGGTGAGCAGCGGAACCGGGTATCCGGCTATGGAACCGGAACCGCCTTGGAACCGCCGGTTCCGGAACCGGAACCGATATGAGTGGTTCCGGTTCCTAAAATACGGAACCGATTGAGAATGGTTCCGGTTCCAGTTCTCAATTTTTCGGAACCGTTACCCGCCGGGTACCCGGTATTTTTAAATAAAAAAATAATTATTATTTTTTAATACCAAATTTATATTAGGTTTACATCTTGAAAGCACACCGTCATCTTTATTCTTCATCTAAATTCTTCATATAGAATGATTCGTATTTTTTTAAATTGTGTGTTCACTTGGATTCGTAGTATGTAATCGTTAAACTTTGAAGTACCATTATAGTATGTAATCATTAAACTTTGAACATTTTCTATTAGTCTGTTATGGTTTGTAATCGTTAAACAATATTTGTAACCATTATTATATATAATTTGTATTCTTGCTTATTTATTTAGTGTTTTGGCATCGTTTTATTTTTTATTTCTAAATAACAAATTTTTTAGTATTTTAGGAAGCGGGTACCGGGAACCGGAACCGGTTCCCGGCGGTTCCGGTTCCGGTTCCAAAAATTTAAGAACCGCTCTAACCGGTTCCGGTTCTGGTTCCAATATCTCAGGAACCGCCGGTTCCGGTACCTGTCAAAAAGGGCAGGTACCCGCCTATGCTCACCCCTACTCTGGGCCTGGATAGTTAAGCCATTAGATCTTAACTAAACCTTAATCTTCCCAATTTAATCTCCTGAATTAACTGACAATCCATTATCTCCTATTCTCCTGTTTAATACAACTTAAAATGAGTCAATCATGCATTACTATTAACCTAAACGTAGCAAGTGGCAACAACTCTATGAAGGTAGATCATGAGCTTATTGATTTGGAGGTGTAGTAACAAACTTATAGCTCATTTGGTTCAGTATGTATTGATGCATGCAAAAGTCATTACATGCTTCCAGGACAAGCACAAAACATTACTTCATTTCACTTAAGAACGGTTCAAAGAACTGAAAATATAATATCAGCTGCACCCTCAAGGTAACTACAATGTTCAAATGCCTACCGGAGAGTAGAATTCCAAGATAGATCCATTTTGAATACTGTTAAGCTGTGGGATCCCATCATACAGATTCAAAGCCCTAGCTGATTCCAATAAGATAATCTGATGAACAGTAAATCAAAAGCAAAGCATCATATTTCTGGTAGGGAAGGAACATTTGGTAACAATGTGATCTCTTACCACCGTAACTCCAATCAAAGTGGTCAGGCTGAAACCCATTCCAACAGAAAACCATATTCTCAACCACCTAGAAACCATTGAGGGAATGAGTAAGCAACAAGTTCAAGCTCCAATTTCCGAAAGTGAACAAGAAGTCTGACTATAGTTATCTCATGTCAAAAACTATGCAACACATACTTTTACTGGTATACCATGCTGTATTCTCTTCTCTTATTTAAAATTCTAGACTGGATATAATTTTTTAACTTTTATCTGATAATAAACCTATGAAATAGGATTCTCAACTTGAAAATTCGTGTCTGAAACTATAAACAGGAAAAATTCAGATATCCAGAAAATTAACAAAATAAACTCAGCTCGAGATTTTCAGTAAACTCGGCTCAAGACTTTCAACAAAAGTAAGCCCAAGAAGTTCAAGATCTTCAATAACAATAAACTCAGCTTTGAGTTGATTTCTCCATATAAAGGTAAAGAATATACACAGGTGGTTAATAAAGAAGCTTTGAGTTGATATCGGAATGAAATTCAAAAATCAATTCGAATTTTGGCCAAACTAAATGAGCTCTAGTTCCTATCAAGCCTCCGATTCCATGTTTCAAACCCTACCTGAAATTCCTATACAATAACAGTAATAAAATTGATAAAAGTAAGTGAACCTAGGTTCGAATTTTTCTGTTAAAACTTTGCAACACGAGGGGGGTACAGAAAACAATTCCGGGTAGACCTGGAATATTTCCGTCCGAAATGGAAGAGAGGTTCGTTAAAGACTGACGACTTGAAGTCACAATACCTGCAAAAACACCAATCAACAGTAGGAAAACGCACGCACAAATGAACACATGATGATCATGGTGATAGTGATGCATACCAGCAGGATATGGAGTTGGAAAGGTGAGAGACACGGCGAAGAGGAAGAAGGGTGCGTTGGGGTGTTCCTCCCCCTGGTCTCCTTCCAGGTCTTCTCCCTGGCTGTAGCTGAATGTTGCCTTCCGCCATTGATGGATTTGGTTTGGACACTGCCTAACTGAGAGCCAAGAGTTAACCTTCACATCCAATCTCAATTACGAATACCAATGGCCAAAAATGGGTCCGGGCCCGGGCCCGGGCCCGGTCGACCCGGTCCAAACCAATCCCAAAGAGTTTTGATAATCGGCTATAACCGATCCTGGCGTAACCGGTCTCGGTCCTCGTCGAATAGATGAAAACCGATCAGGCTAGTTTATAATTGATTTTTCTGTATTTGATAATTCACAACCAACCAAAATATTTATTCATATTCACATTTGAGATCAGTTTTTAAATACCGGATTTTTCGAAAGACTTTTGCGAGTCATCTATGTATGAACAATATGGTACTTGTACCATTATTACTTTAGAATACGACAGTAGATTAAGGTGTATACTTGCATCAAAGTCTATATTTGTTTTGAAGTTTAAGGGTTGTATAAACCAAACAACACTGATTAAGCTTTTTCGCATAGACATTTTGAGATATTTACTTGCAGTTTAATGAAAAATATGTGAGCTCATTTGTACAAACGAAATAGGTCAACTTGTCCAGATTGGGCCTCAAATTTACCTCTCTTGCGAAACTTTATCAAAATAAAGCGTTCCCTGTATTAAAAAAAAAAAAAAAAAAAACCAGCCGTCCCTTTTCTTCCCAATCTCCTCCTCCACTCTCTTCTTCTTCAAAAGATTAATTAAGGATTGAGGATTCCTCCATAACTCTCTTCTTTTTCCCATTCTCCTCCTTGCTCATTCTAGTTCTTTCTCCGAGAACTATAGAAGGCGGAAAAAGGGTTGTTACAACAACGATTAAGGTTGTCGTTTGGTTGTTTCTAGGTAGCGATGATGGAGAAAGGTGGAACATCCATTGAGTTGTTTCTAAGCAGAGACAGAGCAACCATGAGCAGAGGTTTATGGTAGTGGTTTTAGTTTGGTAAACAACCCCTCTTCCCAACCCTAATCAAATCCCTTTGCTCATTTCTCTTCTATGTTCATGTCTCCCCAGCTCTAATTGAAACCCTTGTCTCTCTTGACTTTGAACTTGTTTTTTTTCTTTTTTGAGATTTGAACTTTGTTTCTTGTTCTAATGCGAACTTGATTTGTTGGATTGGTTTGTCATTCATCGAATAGAGGTTCATACATACATCAACTTTAGTTTACATCCAATGCATACTTCATAAATAGTCCATAACCAGTAAAATCCAATTTGTAGCTTACTTATTGGATATAAACAAAGGTAGGATTTTTACTTGTAAAAGTCTTATAACTATCTGTATTGATTCAAATAGTATAATGCCTTCAGCAAAATTAAAGCCTAGTTGAAGTGGGGTCAGGATCATCACCAAAGCAGATTGGTTTGTCATCTAGCAAAAAAAAAGATTAGTACAAGGTAGTAGTCTAACAAATACAACTACTGGCAAGACGAATCTTGAAGTACAAACTTGGCCAACAAGTTTAGTTCTCCAACTAACTTGCTTCCTAATCTTAGTATAAGAACATATATATCATGTCAGCCTAAGCAAGTACAAAGGCACCATGTGAATGGTACTTTGTTTGCTTTACTGTTCACCTCGGCATATTAAAAGAATGAAGTAAAATAAAAATGTGTCTACATCAATCTCAAAGGTTGAAATGAAGAATACTAGGATACATGGATCAACTAACAAGAAGAAACACACAAAAAAGTTGGACATATAACATTAAATGCAATGATGTCTATAAAATGTCATTCTTGGCATACATTGCAATTCACCTGTTTTGTAAGAATAATCGTTGAGAGTGTTTCTGAAGTAAATACGATGTCATCCTCCGACGAACATCCTTTGTTCATCGGATCTAAAAGAGAACCCTTCTCCCTCCCTCTGTTTCAATTAGCAAATCTGTCACAGTCATATTGTTTATGATCACAGGCCTTACCTTCCTAACTTCCACAATAAATATGTAATTCTTTGTTTTTATAGAAGTTATAGAGTAAAAAATTAAAAAGTGAAAATCTTACGTGCTTGTATTCAACCCCCTTCTACAAACACTTCTTGTGTAAGTCATCATCTTCCAAGAACAACAAATGCTCACGTCTATTTTTGAGCATTTTCATCTTATATTACTCTAGATTGAGCAATTGCAAATTCTAATGTTGGTACTATCAATTATACTACAACAGATATTAGGCATATGATTAGGACAAAGCATTAAGGATTGCTACATTTGGTTGTTTTTGTTCCTGTTTTTGTTCCAATTCATGTTAAGTTCCTTTTAGTTCCGTTTTCATAGTTGTTTGTCGTCATCATTGAATTATGGATGTCAAGATTGGACGTGTGTTTGTTCCCATCGTTGTCGCAGATAGCTACCATTAATGAATGTCGAGCAGCTACGAGAAAATATTAGTTGTTTTCTACTTAAAATGCTCCCATAATGGATTTCAAGCCCCAGTTTATCCGTTGTTATCGGTCATTTATTTTCCCAGATTTAATGATTTTTGTTTTCATGTTCAAGATGACATTGAAAGTCTTCCATGCTCGTCTTGAGGGGGACTTTTAGAGTATTAGGGTAGTTTGGTAATTTCTATTTGTACTGAGTTAGCATAAATATGTTCTTTAACTACAAGAGTAGTGCCTGATTGGTTTGAGCTTGGCTCCAAAGTACCAGGGAGGTCTCAGGTTCAAATCCAAGGAGGAATAAAAATCCTCTTGTGGTCACGGAGGTTCAAATGCGGTGACTCCGGGCTATCTGCAAAGCAGGTGGCCATCCTGAGATTAGTCAGCTCGCATAGCGGGTTGGATATCCCGATTAATAAAAAAAAATATGTTCCTTATATCTCATTTGAGTAATACGAGAATCTCATCGTTTTTACCATGAAAACTCATCATAATACTAGGTTTTTGTTGATTTAGTATGATTAAGGGTACTTTTAAAATAACACAATTTAAAAGTGATTTAAGTTAAAATAAAGTTTTCCAAAAGCTCAATGAACAAATGATTTCTCATCTAAACTCATTTCTTCAACAAACCCGTATATCCTTCAAATAATTGAAAGTTAAATTAATCATGTCGGTTATGACTTCGATAATTTTTACCCAAAAATTCATCATCATTGTTTTTTATATAGTGTTAAATTTGGTCGTTACAATCAAGTCCTTGCCGTCCTGGCGTCCTTTCTAATAATCTTGGGATAACATATTTCGATGTAGTTTTAAAAAAACTTACAATGTAAATATATATATATATATATATATATATATTTATTTATCTTTAAAATCAGTTATTATTTTTATAATTTCTTACTTGTTTAGAAATAGTTCCACAAATTAGTTGGTAAACTAATCATTTTAGTAAACTTTTAATAAACTAAACAAAGGTAGAATAAACAAAAAGTTACTGATCTAGCAGTATCCGGTTACCGATTTATAGAAATCTAGGGTTCAAACTCCAGCAAAGATAAATAATGTGTGTAAGTTTATTTCATCGTATCTAAATATATTATACTTAAAAAAATTAAACTAAAATACAAAAATCTTGATCAACAAAAAGAAAAAAAAAACCCAATAATCTATCTAAAATAATTTATCTATACTATATTATAAGACATTGAACAAAAACTCTTAAAAATCATCTTTTATATGTGAAGTACTGCTTATTGAAGCATATTACTTATAATTCAAAATTACAAGTAAATTGTACGTAAATACAACTTATTAAGCTTCATGTTTAAATTCGTGTAACTAACTGTAGATAAATATAATCAAATATAAGATAAAATTCTTATCTATACTATATTATAAAGCATTTGGCTAAAACTCTTAAAAACTCTTAAAACTCTTAAAAACTCTTAAAACTCTTAAAAACTCTTAAACCAGATTCTATCCCTATCCGATTTCATTCCATATCTGAATTCGAATAACTAACTGCAGATAAACACAATCAAATACATGATAAACATCTAATTTTAAAT